ACTCCCAGCTCCCTTCCTGCCTGGCTGCTCTCCAGCCCCTCTGGCCCCAGAAGAAACCCCACTGACTGCAGGGATGAACAGGACACAGAGACCTCAAACATGGGAGAGTTTCCTTCAGGTCCAACGTGAGCCACATCCGTGGGATGGTTTGTGAAACCTGACTTTGCTTTTAAAGCTCCAAAGAGGCAGAAAATAACTGAAAACCTACTGAAGGTGCAAGTCACACTTGATTTTTTAAATAAATGGAAGCCCTGCCATCACAGCTTGGCCTAAAGGCAGAAACTGCTTTTACAGAGCTCCACATCGGCCTCGGTGGAGAATTCATGTGGCTGGCACAGGAGCCTTTAAAAGCTCCCACAAAAGGCAGTGACTGCACTAAATGTTCCCCCCCAGAGGAAAAATTACCTAAAGAAATATTGAAAGCAAAAGGAAGATTCAGACTCTATGCAGGGAGGTAATTTTATCTCTCCATTTAAACCGAAAAAGGATATTTAGCAAGAAATTCTGCAAGAAATTGGTGGGTTTGAACCTCTCAACAGGTTGGGTGTGCAATGAAAACATAAGAGATAAAAACATCTACAAAGTCCTTGGTTATAGACACCAAAAAAATTGAAATATAAGGATCAGAACCACGGGTGCTTCCTTAAAATTCTCCTTGAATGGGAAAAAACCCAATTGGATCAGCCCTGCCTGCTCCTTAATGGATTGTGAGGGCTGGGAGCCAGCCTGGAATGACAACTAATTGGTTTATACTAATTAATAACAACATCCAGTGGCCATCAAAGCATGGAGCCATCACCACTGGGGAGACACACAGATTCTGGGACCATCCTTCTTCTTAATAAACGCTAATTTGACGGGAAGAAAACGTGCCAAAGCTCCCAGGGATGACTCCTTGGAAAGTCACAATCCAGTGATTTCAACTTCATGTGTGGGATACGTGGGATAATTAGCTCCAGCAAGTCATTATCCTGCAAAACAGCTGCAAACTCTGACTTTTGAAGGAGGTTTTTTGATGGATTTTAGGCCGTTGGAGTTTGGCCAGAAAATTCTCATGCGCGTCATCAACAGACATTGAGATAAGGAACAACATCACAGGGATGCTTAGAAGGGAAAATCCCACTCAGAGGGGGAAGACTGAAGCAATTTGCATA